CAAGACCCCAAACAGTCTGATTTTCGGGTTTTTGGGCCGCAAGACTATACTCTCCTGTGCTGCCGGGGGGGAATTTGGGACCCCGAACCCTAAACCCTAAACCCTAAACCCTAAACCCTAAACACTTTAGGGTTGCCTGGAAGTTGTTGATTCTCGGGTTTTTGGGGGTCCCAAGACTGTACTCTCTCATGCTGTTGGGGGGAAGTTGGGGCCCTTTGACCCTAAACCCCTAAACTTAGGGTTTAGGGTTTAGGGTTTAGGGTTTAGGGTTTAGGGTTTGGGGTTTGGGGTTTAGGGTTTAGGGTTTAGGGTTTAGGGTTCAACGTAAACGTCGAAGTGGGGTGTGCACTTTTCCCCCCCCCCCCTTCCCGACTGTTCCACCTCGCTCATTCCTCCTTGCCCTTCAGGGTTTCGGGTTTAGGGTTTAGGGTTTAGGGTTTAGGGTTCTTGGGTAGTTTTGGAAAGGAAAAAAATTTGAAGCTAATCAGAAAAGACATGAACTCTCAGGGTTAGAAGGTTTGGGGTTTTGGTTTGTTTAGTGTCTGACCCTGAACCCTGAACCCTAAACCCTAAACACGACACCCCACACCGTTTAGGGTGACCTGGGAAGACCTCAGTTTTTAACCCTGAACCCTAAACCCTAAACACGACACCCTACACCCTTTAGGGGTGACCTGGGAAGACCTCAGTTTTTATTTCGCAGAGTCTACATCTTCACAGTCAGGCTGTCTCCTGATGGAGGGAACGCGGCTTCGCTCCCGAAGCCCGAAAGGGTTAAGGGTTTAGGGTTTGGGGTTTAGGGTTTAGGGTTTAGGGTTTAGGGTTTAGGGTTCAAACCGTAAATCCCAAAACCTTAGTGCATCACAAGGCACAAGATTCACAGTTTAGACCCTTGAGCCTTCCGACCATGAAGCCCTACAATTCTATAATAACAGCTGAGCACTGAGCACTTTCCAGGCTAAACCTGAAGCCTCTAACAATCTACACCTCAACACGTGAAGACCATCCAAGCCTTCTGGGAGCTCTAGTCCAACCCTCAACCGGAACCCCTGAAACCTGAAACCCTAAACCCTAAACGCTAGACCCTAAGCCCTAAACCCTAATGCCGCTTATTGGGGAACGGCGCGAATCATGGCGTAGATTTCGTCGAAGGATCCGTGGCCGTCGGTGAAGCACCCGAACCTGCAAGCCAATGGGGGCTTCGGGCGTACGGTGTAGGGTTTGAAGGGTGAACGGTGTGAAGGGTGAAGGGTTTAGGGTTCAAGGTTCCGGGTGGAAGCAAGAATGACCTTGGGGATAGCCGTTCTTTCATTTTACAATGCAGCCTGGCGAATGAACATAGACTAAATGCCAGGCCAGGAAAATGACTAGCAATAGAATACAAATCTCGTGCATCTGTTGAACACACCCTCAACACCCTCCTTAGTCAGTCTTTTGCTTTCTTAAGTACTAAGGGATCATACGTACTAGCATTTACGTTTAATAGAAAATGTACCAGCTAAGAAGACGAGCTGAACAGTCTCTCACTTCGTGTTTAGAACTGCTAGCAGCATTTATTACTTTTGAGGAAAGCCGTTTAATGCCCTTTGAGTATTGGAATTTCTTTTGGACAACTTTTCCCGTGCATTGTCATTCTCACATGAGTACGGGCTGCTAATGTTCATGGCAAGTGCGTCACGATTTGAAAAAAGCACACGTGAGATGTTAAATGTAGAAACCACAAGATAAAATCGTATGTTAGGGGGTGAATAATACACCCAAAGACAACCATTACGTAAGAACCCAAACAATGAAAGACAATAGTCCCTACATTACCCTTACAAGGAGGACATTTTTATTATTGGGGGGCTCTTGAGTAATTAGTAGAAGAGGCTGACTGTTAGTATAAGGGGGAACATCCCAGGGTTTCAGGGTTTCAGGGTTTAGGGTCCCTAAACCCTAAACCCTAAACCCTAAACCCATTTCGGGTATGGGGTTTAGGCCCTGTCCAAGGCAAAGGGTGCCTTTCGGCCACCTTGAACCCGAAGCGCTCGTACACAGCAGCGTTCTTGTGGCCACCTGCCAGAGAGACGGGTTTAGGGTTTAGGGTTTAGGGTTTAGGGTTTAGGGTTTAGGGTAGAGGACCCCAAGCCCAAAACAACTCTCTCCCCCCCCCAAAATTGTCTAGGGTTTGGGGTTTAAATAGAGTGTGCTTAAAGGGACTTCCCAAAAAGCGTAATTACCCCTATTTTCGGACACCCCCAAATAGACCCTAAGTCCTAAGGCTTTGCTTGGGACTGGCGGCCTGTCCGCTTCTTGAGAGGGGGGGGGAGATTCGAGGCCGAGGTTTGACGATCAACATCTCGAAGTTGAAATCCCCTTTGGAAGCAAACCCCTAAACCCTAAACCCTAAACCCTAAACCCTAAACCCTAAACCCTAAACCCTAAACCCTAAATCCTAAACCCTGAACCTCCCAAGACCCCTCACCCTCAACCCTAAACCCGCCTAATCCTTCAACCCCCCGAGCCCTAGACTCCTACAGCAAACTCGATAAATTTGGAACATGGCTTAAGGACGATTAGTGCTGGGATTTCCCTTAGCAACCCTCTCAGGGCATGAGGATCATGATGTTCCAACTTTTGGGAGTTTACTGTAAACCCTGCAACCTGGCCAGGCCTGTTTCTAAGTAGCACGGGAGACGCTGCAGATCTGCGGCACGGCAAACAGCACGCATCGTCTGGCCGCAGAGACCCATTCCTGCCAACAGCAAACAAGGGTTAAGGAAGGCTTTGGGGTTTCCATGGGGCAGCCTTAAGTGGCTGGTCCAAACCGTGTGCCCCTAACTGTAAGGACTGTACTAACAATATACGACTCAGAGAAGTCGCATAACTTAGATCATCAGCTCAAACCCGCCTACGCGCCCTAAACGGCCTCTATGCTATAAGCTCCCAGGAAAAGTCCATCAGCTAGACATTCCAAGGCTTGATTAACCCTGAAACCCTAAACCCTAAACCCTGACACCTTAAACCCTGCACCCTAAACCTTAAACCCTAAAACCCTACGCCCTAAGCCGCACTAGTGGCAACTGGGGTGTGGGCCTAGGAACCCGCCGTGCCTTCGAGAGATCGAGTCTCGGTCCGGTTTGGGGCTTTAGGCTTTGGGGATGGCTTTTCGTGTGTTGGGAATGGCTTTCTTACTTATAGGGTGAAGGGGAGCAAGGGGGAAAGGGTTTAGGGTTTAGGGTAGTAAGGGATTTAGGGTTTAGGGTTTCGGCTTCAGGTTTGTTGGGGGTTTCGTGAGGAACTATCGAGAACTACGGGAAACTAGTTGCCCATGGTTCCTGACGGCTTCTTCTGAGGTCACAAGCGCATGGGGGTTTCGGGTTCAGGCAACCCTGATCCCTTAAAAATGCAGCAAGGACTTGACCCCGTCCCCCCCAACACCAAAACCAAGGGCATTCAGGGTGAATCTGGGCTCTACGGGTTAGTTGGTACTCTTCTTCTTGGTGGCTCAGTAACCATAGGGCACCCTTTTTGGCGAGGTTATTTTATAAGGAACGCACAACCAAAAAAAAGGGTAAATGGTACCACTGGGCTACCAAGTCTTCTGCTAGCTGTGAAAGCAGTGCTTCGTGCAATCCTGAACATAGACGAAAGGCTGAGGGTTCTGGGCTTCAAGAAGGGTTTAAGATTCAGATTTATGGTCTGACCTTGGCTACTTGCAAGCCCGACAATCCGGAAGAAGGCTCCGAAACCCCAAGAGCTCAGATCACACATACTGGTATTGGTTCTTAACGCCCCTGCAGATAGACTTCTGTCTCTCCTACGTCTGGGGTCCTTGAAACACAGGGTCCACCATCATCAACGACCTGAAGGATCTCACCAGCTTGTCAGGGGCTGGTTTAGGGTTTAGGGTTTAGAGTTTAGGGTTTAGGGTCTTGGCACGTGCATTCCCTAAGGCCGCCCATCCTAAACCCAAAATCCCGAAGCATCGTTCTGCAAGCTGGACGCGCCAACCTAGGTAGGGTTTAGGGTTTAGGGTTTAGGGTTTAGGGTTTAGGGTTTAGGGTTTAGGGTTTAGGGTTTAGGGCTTAGGGCTTAGGGTTTAGGGTTTAGGGTTTAGGGTTTAGGGTTTAGGGTTTAGGGTTTAGGGTTTAGGGTTTAGGGTTTAGGGTTTAGGGTCTAGGGTCTAGGGTTTACGGTTTAGGGTTTAGGCCTTAAAGTATTTACCCTACACATACCCCAAACCCCTTCCTGAATCTCAAAATACGGGTCCCTCTTTGTGTGTTTTTCAGGGTGCCGTACTCTACATAGGACCAAGACAGGGACCCTAATTTAGAGAACTACCCAATCTAAACCCCAAGCAATGAACTCTGGCATCCTCCACCCTATAGTCCTTTGCCCTGCCGAAAAATGAGTAAGGGTTTAGAGTTTAGGGTGCAGGGTTTAGGGTTGTTGCACTTTTTGCATGGGCTAACTTTTCCCAGGACCCTCGTCCCGAAACCCCCAATCTACCTTCACCTCCTAAATCCTCAGATTTTCGGCGAGCTGCACGCAGAGGTGCGGCACGGCAGCATACTTTTCCTCGGCTGGCTGTCAAGACTCTCCACCAGAAAAAAAGTTCCCGCACCCTGCGCCCTAGAAGTCTTTGCTCTAAGCAACACTGTAAACCGCAAACCGTAACTCGCAAGCCCCTGACACCTCAATACCCCCAAACCCCGAAGTCCTAAACTCTCAAACCCTAGCCCCCTAAACCCGAAACCCCCAAACCCTAAAACCCTAAACACCCCAACACATATGGTCACTTCTCTAAACTATGGCCCTTTTGGGGTTTACCATTCCAAGGCGGCCCCTCATATTCAGCACCCAAAAAGGGACCACCATCTTGAGAACTGACCATGCGAACAATTATGGTCGCTTTTTTGGGGGGTACCACCGCCTTAAAGACTTTTCTTTGGGGTGTACCTTAAATAATGGAGAACTCACTATACAGAGCCATCCCGGGGTGCAGACCAAGTCGCTCTTCGCAGTTGCAGCTGCGTGTCGACACCATCAGGGCCATAGGTGCGGTGGAGAAAACCTGTCGACGGAAAGGTTTAGGGTTTAGTGCTTAGGGTTTCGGGTTTGAGGTGTAGGAAAAGGTCTTCCTCCGCCCCGACCCCCGAACCCCCGGACATGCACCCTAATCTGCAGCAATTCACGTGGACGGCTGTGGAGAGATTTGCCAGACCTAGGAAGCTTTCTTTTAGAGACACGCAGGCCTGTTCGTTTCACTTTGTGTCACTACGGTTCTTCAGCGTGGGCGTTTGCGTTCCTGTGCATGCTATGGAGATTCAAGCTCTAGTCCCCTTACAGTAAAGGACTCCTTGTTCCCAATGGCCCATCGGTAAAAAGGACCCCCCCCCCTCCCAGTAGCCTAGGAACCAAAAGGGTTCCTTTTTGTTGGCTTGGGTTTGGCTTGGGTAGTTCTATAAGGAACCTACGGCACCCCACAGTAGAAAACAGGGCGCACCTTGATGATCCATCACGTCGAAGCCCTCTGCTGGTACAGCCGTCCTGCACATCACTGGCGCTACTCCGTCATTCCTTAGGCAAATCTCTTACACCCTCTATCCCTGAAACCCTGAACCCTAAACCCTGTAAACTAAACCCTGCATCCTACAACCGATCCCACAACCCTCAACCCTACAGCCCTACAGCCCCCAAAACCCTCAAACCCTCATCCCTAACTTGGGTTGATGCCTCCCCCCTCACGTGTTCTCTATCCTACAGATCGGGTTTCGGGTTAACCCTGAGTGCCTTAGCTTCTTTCAAGGACGTATCCGTATGACCCCCCTGGAAGCCCTGCACCCACCCTGCACCCATACTGGGCTGGGGGAGGGTGGGGGTACACCTCATTTCAGAATAAAGCTCCATATGCTTTCTTTAATTGTGGAGCATTGGTGGCTTAGGGCTTAGGGTGTAGTTGGTGGTTTAGGGCTTAGGGTTTAGTAGGCAAATCCCACGTCGCCTGTGCTGACTGCTGCGCGGCCTCCAAAGAGGCCACCTTCTGCAGCTCGGCAGTGCAATGGCGACACCCTAAACCCTAAACCCTAAACCCTAAACCCTAAACCCTAAACCCTAAACCCTAAACCCTAAATCACCACCCCAAGGGCCAAAGGTGGCAACTAGGACTTGCCATGCTAGTCCTGGCCTCCAACCAAACCTGATATGCCCTAATTAAGCCCTACACCCTATACCCTGTAGACCCTAAACCCTCCACCCTCAAACTCTACACCAAAAGCTAAAGCCACAAAGTTCTACAAGCCCTCACTTACCAGTTCTTCAGTGGGTTCAAGATTAAAGGAATCACTCTCCCTTTACAGTTAAGTCACTTGACGGGTCCCATAAAGGGATAAAACGTAAACCATAGCCAAACCCTAAACCCTTTCTGCTAGAGTTTACTGGTACCCTAAAACCCTAACCCCTAAACCCTCTGCTTACTTGCCGATTGAACCCTTGTCAAAGCATTGAAGCCCTCGAAGGAGGGAGCCGGAATCCGGGTTAGGCCGCTGAGTGCAGACAAACCCACCCCAAGACCCCCCTATTTCGCGGTTTAGGCTTTAGGGTGGAGCTCTTAAACCCAATAAGGGAAAATTGAAAATTTCTCAAGGGCCTACCGCAGGCCACTAACCCTAAACCCTAAACCCTAAACCCTAAACCCTAAACCCGAAACCCTAAACCCTAAACCCTACTCACTGCAAAACGAGCCAGCCCATGCCAAGCCAAGCCGAACCAACTTCGCACGTCGAATAATTCATAGGGGTGGGGCATCTGAGTCACTTGGGGGGCTTTTGACACTTTACCCTAAACCCTAAACCCGAAACACCCTACAGGGTTTAGGGTCTAATTGGGGTTTAGGGTTTAGGGTTTGGGGTTTGGGGTTTAGGGTTTTAGGGTTTAGGAGCTTGAGGCAACCAAGCTTGGGTGCCCAGGTGAGAGGGGTGGCGGGCGGTTTTGGGGCAAGGGATTTTTGATTTCGACTTTCTTCTTCGTTTTCTTCCTACTCGTCTTTTGCGTTTGGGGGTTAGGGTGTTAGGAAAGCCCTAGTGGACCCCCCCCAACCAAACCAAACTAAGGTGATGAAGCCTGGAACCGAAAACCGCCTGGGAAATCCTGACCCCCGAGCAGTAACCCTAAACCCTAAACCTTAAACCCTTAGCCCTAAACCCTAAACCCTAAACCCTAAACTCTCGAGTCCTGCTGCACGGTGACAGGGGCATACAGGGCTTCAGAAATTCCAGGAGCTTTTCCCGCCAATTGCTCTGCTCCTTGCGGTACCCACGCCTTGGCTCGACCACCGGCGGACTTTGTTCATACAGGGGCCCAAAAGGTAAAACTTCGGTGTCTCAGCCGTTATCTAGCGCTGAGATTGATGTTGCCTTTCGTCTCCGGTAGATTCTCTACGTTGAAAAAATACAGCGCTTGAAGTTGCTGGGAGGGCTCAATATTCTCAAAATTGCAGCATGTGCCGCCATCGGGAGGCCGCACATGCAGAAGACGACAGCATGTGCAGATTGTCGGAGGCTCGAAAATGGTAAACGACAGTGTTTGCCACTTCAGCACCCTTGTCTAGCACCCACCCTTTACCCCGATACAGTACATGTGCCCAACAAAACATGCCAACCTAAGTATTGCGACAAAGTCCAGCTTCTTCCGAACTCGCCAAGCCCTAATCAACGAGTTTCTTTCAAGTCAGAACTCCTGCCCTACTGGGTTCAGGGTCAGGACTTGTAGATGGCTGTAGGGCTTGAGTAGCATGGTCTGAGAGCATCTGAGCTTCTCATAGCGGCGAACGACGCAGCAGGCGCCCAGACGACCCTCAAAGAGGCCAACGATGCCTAAGCTCGACGGGCAGTAGCGCCAATCCTCGCCGTTGCGGAAAGGGACGGAGGGAGTTGGTCGGTGGAGATCCCATGTGTTGCTTGGGGTTTCTTGCTTAACGTTTAAGAGGTTGGGGTTTAGTTCTACGACTTCAGGACTACCGACGCAAAGCAATGCCGTGCAGTATTCGTCACAAGAACTGCGCAGCTGTTTCGCAAGTACTTTGCACACCTAAGCCTCAGGAAACTTATGGAAGCAAGAAAACCCAT